CCAGACCTATTTCTACAAGTCTATGAGCAGAACAAAATGAACTCAAGATGTTTTCCCAGAAGACAGCAAATAAAGGAACCATTTCTCTGAATTCTGCACAGATTGAATATGAGCAAAATGAATCCCACATCTGGTCCATTCTTCTTTTTCATTTCTTTAAAGAATAGATACAATAATGCCATGCACACACACAGAAACCACACACAGGGAAGGTCAAGTCTAGGGTGCCTCAAGTTTTACTTTCTGTCTCTTTCTGAAATGGCAGAAGATTAGAAAAAAGGAATAAATCTGCATGCCCCACATGCTGAAATAAAATGGCAGCTGCATCCTAAACCATTGCAGCTCCTGTGCTGAGTGCTCCAAAATCAGAATCTGAGAGGGAAAAGCAGTTGGCCAGAAAGGGCTGTTCACATGGAGAGGAAGGCTTCAGAAAACTTTTTGGCTCAGGGGGATTCGTGATATGAAGGTGAGTAGTCGGCCTCTGCACACAGTGTCTGAAGGAAATTGGACCCCTAGTGAAGATGACTCACAAAAGCCAGAGTGCTGAGCAGGAACCTGCTTGTCTAAGCCAGTGGCGACCACTGGAGAGACAGGTTTGCCCATCATCCCAGCTCTGAAGGCCACTCAGATGCCCTGATCAGGCCAAAGAGCAGATACAGGGTATGGCAGCCCCTCCAAGTTGTGAATAGTGAATACTGTCACCTCCCAGGTATTTTGGATGAGCCCAACCTTGCAGTTTGTTTGCCCAACTGCATTGTTTGCCTTTCCTGAATCTTGCAAGGCTCCAAACAAACCATATACATTTGTCTTATAAATATTTATTAATTTCCCCTTTGTTAGCTAATTGTTTTGTAACACAGATGACTTTCTTCATTAAGCAGATTGCTAAAATGCTATTCCACAATACATTTATTGTTAATTCCCTAATTAGTTAGGAATGCATGTTTTTCGGATAGTGAAGCAACTTGTGCTTGGCAGGTTAGCTTTTAAAACTAACTTTGTCTTCAGGTTTGAATGTTCAGCAGTAAGGAAGATGCTTCTTAAATGCATTTTCAAAAAGTAAATTAATAAACATAGGTCAAAATTAATGTAGAGTCAGAATTATGCAATTTGCCTGCACATTAACATCTTCCTACTCTATCCTCTAATAGTATTTCTGAATCAGATTGGTTGTACTAACTTTACCTCTCCCCAGAGAGCAAATTTTTGCTATGATGTAGCTGTGCGATGCATTTTGACATAAAGTGAGTAAAAATGATGTCTTTTATTTTGTGCATCAATTTATTTTGTTCATTTTGCCCATTTTGGTGGCTTCTTGCTTTTTTCTGTTCTTGTTATGTATGTGCTTTAGAAAGAACGCATCCGCATTGGCGTGGTTAATCAAGGGGAACTAACCAAAATAATCACTTTCTAGTACTTCAAAATATTCTGATTTTTTAATGGAGAATATGCATTCTTAAATTAAATATGCATGATAAGTAATAAGTAGTAATAAGAACAAAGCGGGCTCTGTAAGAATGAGTGTTATGTTTTAAGCAAAATGCATTTGATTTGCCAGGTTCAAAACTGCTTTGAAGCAGTAAGAATCAATGCAAAAACTGGGGTGAAGAGGATGGAGAGCCTCATAATGCTTATAAATTGTCCTTAATTGTATGGGTTTTAAATACGAAAGTTGGCAGTGACAAAAGCTAAAAGCCATTAGGAGAGATCCTATTGTGCAACACATCAGTAATTGTAAATCAGAATCTTTGGGGGGAAAAAAAAAACAACTAGTTTTCTAAAATTTTCATAACTGTACTTGAGACTTGTCTTGATGTTTACTACAATGATGGCATTGTTTGAAATGACATAGCCTAATGCATATATAAACCCAGTTTGAAAAGAGCTCCTAATTAACATGAATAGTCTTCTTCTCTGAAGGTCATTTATTGCAAAGTTCATTTTTCAGCCGAGCATTGCTAAAGTAGTCACCCCGCTAACAGCCATTAGATTAAGAGACTTAGGTCTGTTCTCTTCCTGACACTGGGTCAGGGTTTTCAAAGAAACAGGCTCTTCAATGCCAAGAAGCCCTTAAAAATAATATTTGAACAGAAAAAGAATGGATGTAATTATATTGTAAATATTTCTGTGGTTATTGAATTAGTGAAGATAACTCTATTCATTTTCTCTTAAAAAAAAAAAATTAAAAGAAGGAAAAAAACCCACACCAAGTTTTCCTTATGTGATGTTGCAGTGCAGCTCTTCCCCATGGGACCTTTGATTTCTTCAGTCATAACGATTCATTAAAACCGAGAGACATGGAATATTTAGCATCTGATGTGTGAGCATTTTCACCTATTGCCAAATATTAGGTATGTGAAGACCCAGGTGCCTCTGCTTCCCCTTTGGAGGCTCTGGAAAAGCTTTCTGTGTCTGCATGCATGCCAGCCACTGCTTCTTCTCCAGCAAGAAGAGCTCTCCAAATCCAAGGGGCACCAACTTACCTCTGCCAAGCCTGCAAACTGCCACTTCACCACGACTTTAATGGCTGAACCATGACTGTCTAATTCTGAAACAGTGTATGTCTAGGACCCCCGTTAACACCATTGACATAATACACATTCGAATATAGGTTTGGAAACTGCAGCGACAGAAAGTTACCACTTGGGCTACGTGACATCCCCCAGTGGGTTTTCTGGTCATGCCTGTGGACATGTAGTGCTAAACGGTCTTTGCTGTGATCCAAAAGCTTGTTCACCCGTGTCAGTTAGTTACAAACAGGTACAGCGTCTTTTGGGCTGGGGTGTGTCATTGCTCTCCTGCATCGTGGTGGCTACAGAAGCGGATACACCATGCCCGTACCGCCTCAGTACACCACCAAGGTTCAGGTAAGCCTTTACTCTATATTTATTATGCTTGCCTCCATTTAATCAAGCCTAGGGTGGGATCTTTGATAGTCAATTGGAGCCCAAGTCATTCCCAACCTGGATTTGTATCCCCTTCTCTCCTGGCTTTGCCACTCTCCCTGGAGTCAGGCTTCCTTGGGCTCCTGGTGACTACAGCTGGGCTGCAGAACACCAAAGTATGAGAAAACCCTTCCAAGTCTGAACAGCAATCGTGTTGAGACAGCAGCAAAGTACCCCTCTGCCCCTTCCACTCCTCTCTGTCCCCACATCTAGGCAGAAAGGCTGCAGGTACGACGTCAGGGAGTGGGACACTCATGATGTGCCTCAGTTGCTCCTCCCTGCCAGCTTCCACAGGGTGTTTGCTCCTCTCCACTTGCATTAGCAGAGGGGAGCATATGGGCCTTGGAGATTTAATGTTTCATGGCTTACTTGGCTGTCAAAATGTTTTACATTATTATTTGTTGCAACATTCACGGTGATCATCTTTAAGGAAAAAAAACCCTGTGCGGCAGGTCCCTAGATGCCCTTGCTGGGAGCAGATGTCAGAGCAAGAGCATTGTTAAGCCTCTCTTGGATTTTTCATTTCCCACCCTTTGTACAGCCAACGCGGTGCAACGTGGTGCACGCACAGCCTGGCAGGACCCACTGGGGTGGTTTAGGAAGGTTGAAACAGGGAAACTTGCAGATTTATAGGGCGCCGAGACAGATTCGTAATCTGTATTGATGGCATCATCCCCAACCATGTGACAACCAAAGCAGATAAGCTTACGACTGAACTGAAAAGATTTTTTAAAGCTGGTAATCGATATTGAGCAGCTCAGTCTGTCGAGCTATCGGGTTCGGAGATCTCCACACATGTGGGTGGGGGTGAGGGGAGCTCTGGGTTTGTAAAGTGCTGAGATGCTGCTAAGCTGGTACCTGCTGTTGCTGGGGGTGATTTCAGCTGAGGGGAGACTCAGCAAAAGCCATGGGAAGACTTTGTCTATTAGGCAGGAAGATCCAGAAGCAAAGGGCTAATGAGTAAAGAACCTGAGTACCACTGGGTTGGGGACTTGTTGTGAGTGAAGCTCTCCGAGGGTGCTGCATATTGCCCCTTCAGTGCCCCAGGCTTGACAGTCAAAATCTCTAGCTGATGCTGAAAGATTCCACAGGGGTTTCCTTGCTTTGGTCTGATATACCATTACTTACAAGATACTTGTGTTTTAAAAGCAGTCACAAACCTGATGGACTTCCTGAAGGAGATATCTTCCAGTGCTTCTGATGGAGGGGACCTGTTTAAAAATGAAGAAAATGATCTTACTCTTATTAAAAGCATAATGACTTTCCAGGAAGCAACTATTCAAGCCACTGTTGTCCATGGTGCACCATAAAGTAGTCTCTCCCCAGACAGATGCCCTGCCTATCCTGCGCCTTTCAGAAAGGGAAGGGAGCTGGTGCCTGTCGAGAGAAGTTGTGTATAGGTTGCACCTCCTCAGAAACATCATTCCCATGAAAGGGAAAGAAGTTGTCTCCAGATAATCAAGCCTTGTGCTTTGTTTCCACAAGATGAATTGATGTTGTGAGGGCTGGACTGGTTAGACAGGCACATAAAGAGGAAGGGAGAAGCTGAGCCTTTCTATTTCTCTGTATTATAGGGCAAGACAGCTGGGGTTCAAATACACTCTGCATTATGAAGCACCTATTAATATCATCTCCTGATGGAGAACAGGGTATTTTTTTCTTCTTAAATGTTTAATTAGTAGGCATTGTGTAATGTCTTTACTTCAGTAAATTCCAGTTAAGAAAGATTTTGGACGCACATGTGAATGAAGGCTTGTCTTGAAAGACAGAGCAAAAAAGAAATTCATAATCGTGTTTCTCTTGTTGTATTTACTGTTTTGCTTCTAAAGGGAATATTACTCCACTAAGAGATTCATAATTAGGAGGATGCCAGATGGGTTATCAATGTGGTTTTAAATTTTTATACGTAGAGTGCTTGTTTTTGCAGGAGATGCTTTGGTTCCGTGTACAGTAGTTAAATATAAATGTCTTCTATGAGGGGACTGCTAACTATTCCATGATTTTGAATTTGCTCTTTATTTAATCCTTACTCCATCTCTTTTTTTCTTCTTTTAGCTGCTCTGGTGAGCTAAATTAATAGAATGGACCTACCAGGTGGAACAATAAAGCCTGAAAGCAGAACTGAGACCCACCTGAAAACGCCAACATCTTTACTCAGTAAAAGAAGAGAAAAAAGCATAGGACTTTGGACACCTTTCTGAAATGCCAGGGAAAGGTGTGTCTGTGGGCCAGGTGCTTCAGAGGCCAATATGTGCTTTGTGCCATGACACAGAGAGGTGCAGCAGCGTGGAACCCGTGAGGAGAACAAGGTTGGTGCATCTCAGGTGGGAATGACATGCCTTCCTTTACAAAGGAAGGGTGAGAAGTCAAAGGCAAGCAGAAAACTGTGGTGTGACAACGCACCAGAGTCAACAGCTAGAATTGCTGTCCTGCAGAAAGCCTACACCCACTGGGGAACTGGGGGCTCTGCCTCAGAGGGTTTATGCTTTCCACATACTTGAGGGTGGGATGCATGCAGACACAGGCACACGGGTGTATATTCACTTCACCATTTACTCAGTGCGCTTCGACCTTCAGTGCCAAAGTGAAACACCCCTCTCTGCAGGATTTATATCACATCCTCATCACTCACCAGGGCTTTGGATCAGACAAAAGGACCGTGTCACCTTTCCTCTCTCTTTTCTTCTGAGTCCCCTCTCTGTCGTGAGTTTTTAAAGCTGCGATAAACATAAGGGAGCCATACACACTATAATGATAACCCAGATGACAGTGTCAAATCTCCATTTGTTCCATGTGGAAGTGTTACTGAAGGAGAAGACGCTGTTATTAAACACCAGGAAAGGGTGATCGGAACTGGCAAAAACAACCTCAAAGGACAACAGCAATGGAAATGGACTGAGGGTTAACCAAAGTCCATTAACTAACCAACCAGCTTATGAAAAATATGCATTAGGTTAGGGACAAACCCAAGCCTCAGCTTTAAACTTACCTTAAAAAAACACTTGGAGGGGTCAGCTCATCATCTCTGAAAGCAATTTTCTATGAAAGTACTTCCACATCGGGTCTTGTTCTAGGGAATCAACACCTTGCAAACTCCAAATATTGAACATGCCCTTCTTCTCTGGGATGGAAGGCTGATTGGTGAAAACAGATACAAAAACATTTACTAAGGACTTTAAATTCAGTGGCAGCTCTTGAATATACATATTCAAGAGAAATGAAAGGATTCTGTCATACATGTAAAACCAGACTGGGTTTACGTGTTGTAATCATGTTGTACCGGTGTAAACGCAAGCAGGAAAATGTTGGGCTATCAGCAGAAAATCCCAGTGCTTAATGATAGGGACAATTAGGGAAGTGCCACATGAGAATATGAGGTCATCCTCATTAGAGAAGTTTAAAATTACTTTAGATGAAATGCAAGGGCGAGTTGTATGGAGGAAGCTCTTGCATGATATGGTGATAGGACTGATCCATGGTTATGTGCTGATAGAGACAAAACTTCATGATAGAGATTAACTGGGGCTTTCCTTAACTGAAATGTAACTGGAATTCAGATGCTGGCTCTGTGACTTGCCACCAAGAGCCTGGCCTCATGTTTTCAAGTATGTTCTAATGCTTTCCATTCCTCTTGGAGAGATTTTATTGATGTGATAGAAATTTCCTTCTTTCCTTCACCTGGAGCATCTTTGCCTTTAAAGAAGTTTGTAGTACTGGAGCTCTCATTCAGCTCTGTACATCTGCGCATTACAAAGCACACGTCCCACAGTTTAGCATGGTTTGCAAATGGCAAATTGTCACTATATGCTGTTAATTCATCTATCCCTCTGCTTCTTTTTGGCTTTGCTCTCATGGGCAGGAGATGCTCAGGGAGAAGGCTGACATGACCTTGATTTCTGCAGCAGCACAGCCAGGAGAATTTCTGTGGTGGGGCTGAGGTGCCCTTGGTTTGCACAGCAGTGATAAAGCTCTCCAAAGGCGATGGGGAACATGATTACAATTAGGAGAAATGACAAGAGGTGAGTGGCCAGTGAAGGAATGTGCACCTTAGCTGGGTTTGGGGTAGCTTTCCAAAAACTACTGAACCTCTCGGGTCTTCTGGATGTGAATAAGAAGGGGGAAGTGGGGAGCCATAAACCCCAAAAGCTACTTGACCATACAGCTCCAGCTCCCTGTGCTCCTGTGTCCAGCCGTAACAGTGTCAGTAACCTCCTGCTAACATGGGGTGGTGTAAAAGTTTTTCTGAGCTCCCAGAACTGAGAGACTCTTACCTGCATCTTTGTTTTCCTCTGTGTGCTAATAACGGCAGCTATATTCCTAAGAAAAACATTCAGAGGACCATGTTATGTCTGTTTCTTAAATTGTGATCATTATGTGACTAATCATAATAATGATATGGTATTAGGGGGAAAAATGTTGGAAGATATTCTCTAGAGGGAAATGAATTTCTTTTTATCATCTACAGTAGTTTATTTCACATATTCATGACCCTCCTGGTATTCTTTTTTCTTTTTTTTTTTTTGCCTTTTTTTTTTTTATGATGAGCCATAAAAATGACAAAATACATTAGCAAAGTTCTCGGTTTATGCTAAAATGACCATATTCAAAAATAATAACAGAGACTTGTATCAGCAATGCAAAAGATGCATGAAGTAATTGGTGCTTAATTTGTACACAAACTGTCAAGGCAGTTTTCCTCACGGCCTGCATCTTCTGAATTCATTAGTCTCTAATTAAGGCCAGTTGGGACCAGCAGTTAGAAGGTTAAAGAGGTTCTGACAGCCCTAATCATTGCTCAGGAAGCTGAAAATGTATGCAAAGTCTCGGCAGATGGGGTGAGATCTGCTTCTGCCAAGTGATAACTGTTATTCCTTTGCACCTCCAAAGCTGTCATCCTAATAGGCACATTTTAAATTTATTAATGCTCTAGTTACAATGCATACACAGTCTCTAATGGTATGTCATTCAGAGTATATAAACTGAGCAATTAACACATATTACCTGGTAATGGTAAAATTATTTGTTGCCTGTTTGATTATTTTTTTTTTTCCTTCAGTTTCCTAATCCAGCAAGAAGAGTCCTAAGAAAAGACTTTTCTTTGTTAAAAAGGAGGGATTCTGAGCTGCTTGTTTGTTGCCCATTAGTTCTTTTTTTTTCCTACAGACAAAAAGCTCACAAGCCATAATGAACTTTACTTTGATTTCCAGTGCCTCAAAGATTTGGATTTCAGGGATTATGCGTTTTTTCTGACTTTATATATGAAAATGTGTGTTTTGAATAATTCAAATATAATTGTAAAATGAGATGAATTTTTTTTTCCTAAATATGATTTTTTTCATTCCTTTTTATAAAACAATGTGTGAACTGCTCAGCAAATTGTTGCCCTTCCCACCCCCCTTCACCACTACTTCAGTGAGGCACCCATATTTTGCTCCCCTCTGTGATGGTATCTCTCTCCTTAATCCTGTTTGGCTTAAAGCTGCCTAATCAGGAGAAAGGCTTGGGTTTAGGTCTCTCTGTCCATTTGAAGGCTTCAGCCATGGGAGGCCTTTAATTGCATGTAGCACTGGTGCAATGTTGGTTTTCAAGGAGGGAAGCCCACTGCAGAGTCTCCCATGCAGGGAGTGGAGCAGGCACCAGAGCCCTGGCTGTGGTGGGAGCCCAGCAAACAGTGCTAATAATGTGCTGAGATGTTAATGTAAGCAACAGAACAATTATGTACCCAGTGACTTATAGACAGGCCAGGAACCTATTGCTCTGCTAGAATTAATTGATTGTGCTGTGTGTAATGAGCATAGCACAAATAGGGAGGGAGAGCGTAGTGTAATTGAACCGTGGGCCTGGCTCTACCGTCACCAGCCTGAGTCATGAGTGACTTCAAAAACATCAGAGGATTTCACATGGTGCAGTAGCAGCATGACACAGTCCCAGACCAGCTATTTGCTGCCGAGATTTCCCCAGTGCCATTTTGGACCGTAGTGCCCAATGGCAAGTCATCGGGGGTGAAACCCTGCTGGCCATCACCGCCAGTCTTGTGTTTACTTGACGCATCAGCAGTCCTGCTGAAGTCAAAGCAGAGTTTTCCCAGGTGAGAGCTGGGTGGCCAGGCCCTGTGTTAGCCCATGGGACTCCACTGGTGGCCACAAACGGTGCCAGTGCTGTCTGCACGCGGTGGTCCCTGCTTTGACCTCGGGTAGAATGACCCTGCTATACTCTCTCATTCTACAAAAGTACTTTATTCAGTAATCGCATGGCAGATAAGGATCATTAGTACCATTTTACATCAGGAGAAGCTCAGGAACAGAATGGAAAATTACTTGTGCCAGGAGTGAAAAGAATACCTGGAAAACCTAGAAACCCCTTTCTATAAAACATAGAAGAGGGGAAGAGAATCAAAGCTGATAAATTATATAGAACAACTTTGACCTAAATGGTTTTCAGAGAATAGGTAAAAACCTTGATCACCTTGACCTGCATCACTGTTGTATAGGAGAGCGGTACTCTAATGATCTTCACTTTCTGATGTGGATATACAACAGAGCTCTAATCCCAACACCTTTCAAGTTTGAGCAGCACATAACCAGCGTGGTGTATGCTTAAGCCTAAACTTTAGCTACCCCCCTGAGTTACGATAGCTTTATGCTAGGACAGTTCATTTCCACTGAGATCTGTCTTACAAGATTTATCTACTTTGCTCCTAGACCATCGCTAAGTGGTGCAGTACCTCCTGAACTGAGTTTTAGGCTGTACCATGCACCTTTTCCAGGGCTCTAAGCAAAGAAAAACGTTTATTTTCTCCTAAACAGAACACACATTGAGGCAGAACAAGCTCTCAGGATACCTCTCTGTACCCACAGTTTGATGTGTATTCCCATGACGTGGCTCCCTTGTCTCCTCTGAACCAGTATGCTTTGCTGGAGGGTTCTTACTTGCACCCAGCTACTGCTAACTAGGTTGTCCAATACGCTTTCAATTTTGGATTGTTGTACATATAAGAGGGCAAGAGCTGAATTTCCTATACTGCTTCTAACCCAATAAATGAGGGTATTGAATTACAGTGGTATAATGTGGGGGGGCTCTGCTTTAGGACCATTTGAGCAGCCAGAAGGCTCACCATGTCAATGCAGAGCTAGAAAACCACTCAGCTGTAGAGACACAGCTTCCCATTCCTTCAAGTACCTCTCTCCCAACCAGTCTGGAGCGGAAAAACCAGTGAATATCATGTGCTGCAGATGGACCAGCAATGGATCGTGTACAGCTAGCTGAGTCTGGCATGGTCTGATTCCTCTTGTGTTTGCTGGCTACTTACCCAGCCAACAGCCAGACATTTGTGGGGTAAATCATTTCCAGTTGTTTCACAGGAGAAAACTGTCCAGCAGTATAAATAATAATTCCTCTCTGACAGGGGTTTCAGTGTTTGCCTGTGGCTCTGGTGCTCTACGTCTTCCCTTCGGCCCCCCACCCAGCGCATCTCCTGAAGAAGGATATAAACAGACCAGTTTATACCCTTCTACTACAGACCAGTCATCATAGAAAAAAAGAGGTTGGTGCCAACTATTTTCTCTTCATTTTTGTATCTATACATACACAGGGCACAAGTGGAGAGTGTTACTCAAGGCAGCAGAAATTCTTGGTCAAAAATAACAGAGGCAAAATGGCTTATAAAATTACGAGTGACAAAGTCGTTTGGTTCATACCATTTACAGTTCATGAAACCTGAGGGACTGGACACAGACCAGGGCTTTGTCAGGAGAGAATTCAGGCCATGTGAAAATCGCTGGATGTTGTTGTGGCTTTTGCTGGCTGGTTTATGCTGAGGAGGCTCTAGGGATATGGAAAGCTCAGCAGCGAGAAGCTTGCTTTTGCTTAAATTCTGCAATCCGTTGCTTTTTCCTTTACTTTCCCCTCTAGGCTGTCCAAGGTGATGCCCTCTTCTCACCGCCTGCCTGGAGTCACACAATGGCCACCTCCTGCCAGCTAGCACAGAGATTTCTCTGCTACTTTCCAGCCTCCTGATGCTGGTGTAGGAAGGTGGCAGAAGGAAAAGGGCCATGCAGAGGATGACCCCATACTGCGCTGAGCCCCAGGTGCCATCACTGGCCCATTGGCATCTGGTGTGGCTTCGAGAAGTCAGGGTAAGCAGAAAGACATATGGGGAGCTGTTGCATAGGTTGGTGGTGTTACGGCTTTGCCCTGAGTGTCATCCTGGGTGTACCTGCCTGCGGATCTGGATTTTGTTGAGGAGCCGCCAACGCTCAAGATGCTATGGGCGATGGCCTCTGCAGCTGGAAAGAGGTGCTGGATTCCCCCATAGCCCGTGTCTGGAGTGGGAGGTATTCCACCAGCCCAACCACTGACACTGCAGTGTCCTGCTTATCTTCCTGTTCAACAAAGTGTCTTCCATGCAAGGAGCCTTGCCAGGTATTTACTCTGTACCAGCTCTTGCCCAGAGCCAGAATCTGGGACCTGTGGTACCAATCCAGTCCATATTGCTGGGCTGCCACATTTAGGAGGCATTCTCTTCATGGGTGTGCTACCCATCAAACATCAGTCAGGTGAGGACACCACATGCCTAGTGGCAACTGAGTTCTGTGGGGCCATATTGTGTTAAATCGTAGAATCAAAGAATGGTTTGGGTTGAAAGGGGCATTCCAATCCCCCTGCCATGGACAGGGACACCTCACATTAGACTATGCTGCCCAAGGCTCTGTCCCACATGGCCTTGAACACTGCCAGGGATCGGGCAGCCACAACTTCCTTGTTCAATGATAGCACGCTGAGGACAAGGCGAGGGCAAACTGATCACTGCTCTTGTGTCTGGTGTTTGCTGCATGGTGTAAGGAGGTGCAAGTCAAACAGGCTTGAAAGTGCCACAAAATGGAGGGCTGGTGCTAAGCTTCATTCAGTAGGAATTTACTCAGAGCAGGCTAGGAGCACAGGCATGAGCGGTTAGGGATTAGCTGCCTCACCATTGAATCTCATGACATCTGGTACTTTCCTCAAGAGCGGGTGGCTTCTCCGCCTCAAGGCCAACCAGATTTTTCTGCAACCTTGTGCTAAGTTCCTGCAGCAGGGAGAGCCGGGGGAATTAATGCCGTTATAAACATTATTTTCTACAGGGATGGAGTCTCTTCTGGCTTAGCAAGAAGTCGATGGACCCTGTGGCATTGCTGAGCCTTGTGGTTACACAGTGATGGTGACCACGGCTTGGGATAGTCAGTAGCACCCAAGAACAGTCTGCAGGCTGAAAACACAAACTGTGCAATGCTGATTGCAGCCTCTGTAGTTGGGGTTAAGAAATGCTGTAGCTGTGTTTAAGGGGTTCCAGACACATTGACATTATTCTGTGTGCATCAGAGAAAGCCCAGCAGACTAACAACCACTTGAGAGGGTGTCTGTCCTCCTGCTGTGTTTTTCTTTCTGTCAAAATCCTTAGAAGTGTCTACCTTAATAACTATGATGCTTCATAGTTTAAGTATCTTTACTTGTGTAACTGCTTTATTGCATTAAATGGCCTCTGTTAGTGCTTGCCCAGGGATTTTCTTGCAGTGGTGGTGGAGCTTTCTAATGCTGAATTACCACTCTCATCTCTCTTTGTGGAAAATGGAAGATCAGAGCACCTAAATGAACAACCCAAAGGACTGGCAGCAGCGGAGCCTACTCCAGAGGAGACCTCTGTAAAGGGTTTGTGGGCAGATTCATATTCTTGGGTATATCACTGATAACATATATGGCAATCATCTTTTTTCTGAATCATCTGGTGATGTTGGAAAGCTTGTTTTGGATGGTAGGCTAGGACCACTGCGCTCCAGAGAACACACTGTGCAACTCTGGAGCAAGTGAAACAGGGTGAGGCATACCAGGATGTATAGAGCTTGTTTTCTGGCCTGTCTTGGTGTGCTCTTTCAGGCTCCAACACTGCACATTTCACTTCAGTAGTACCTCAGTACTTACACTTGTGGAAAACCATTCCATTGCTCATGGGACCGCTGGTGTGAATCAGTTTTAAGGATTTTTTTATGGACCCTGGTCTCAAATCCTGGAGATTTGCACTGAGACCGTGGGATAAATAGGGGCTGAATGCCCTAGCAGCGGTAGCTGTCTGTATTGCCCTGTGTGAGCTGTAAAGTGCATTTCTGCTTATGCAGTAAACCCATCAAATACACCTTCCCTTTAGTACATAAAGAAGAATGTACTGCACCAGTCCTTGTGTCTGCCAAGATCTCAATTTCATGTTTTCAAGCTCAAACCCAACCTTAAACCAGTGGATATTTTAAAAATCAAAGCTACAGTCTGCTCACATCACCACAGTTGGGCCAATGCCTCGGGTAGTTCTTGCTTGCTGTTTGTAGCTGATCTCCTGAGCTGGGATTGCACATGCTACAGAGTTATTGCCATGGCTGGGGTTATCCCTGCACCAGTGCTCCTTGGAGCATCCTGTACTGTGTCTTCTGCCTTACTCTGACAAAGCAACCAGCCAAGCCTGCCTCCAGGTTTGTAAGCCTAAATTTGATGGCTCCTCTATCAACAACTTTCTGCTCAGCATGGACAAAATATGCCTAGATATTTCTCCTGGACTTGGGCATCTCCAGTTTCCAGGGACTACTGGAGGTCTTCCATCTTATTCACACCAGGCTCTAGATCAGCCACTAGCAAGCCCAGGTAAGAGGAAATCAAACTCTTCTTTTATAGTGCCAATTATCTGTCCGGTTAGCCCAGCTTGATGAAACCAGCAGAGATCTGGCCCCATGAGCTTAAAAAGTGCTCTAAAAGTTTTGGTGTAAAAGAAACTTCTTGTGATAAATGACATATATCATAAAGTAGAAAAAATGGAGGCATTTATAAAACTAAACAGTAGTGAGTTGTTCTGCTGGAGCTTTCCTGGACATTAAGTGTTTCTCTTTGGATGCATGTACAGTGATTTTAAGCAGATTGTATCTGCAATGCTACAGCCTCTGACATATAGTTATTATAGTTGATGCTGCATGCAGTCAAAGCAAGATGTGACTTGTCTACTATACCATGCAAAGGTGAACAGCTCCGTAAGAATCAAGCAGCATAACCCATTAGAGTCCATTTAGAAACTAACAGATATTTTACAGACATTCAACAGACTTTCAATCAAATCATAATCTCAGAAACCTGCCAACAATAAAACCCATAAATTAAAATCAAGTTATATAAGCATGACTTGATGAACCTGATGTAATCTGGTGGCATGAGATGCATATCCTACATTAAGTAACAAATTCCTCTTCTTTTCTCTTATCGGTTAATAGGGCAGAAAATGATTAGCAAATGTTTTGTAGCCAGTAAACCTGAACCTGAACACATTGGCGTTATTTTATACAGGATTATTTGTCATTAATTTCTCCTTAGCAGATCACCTCTTTATTAACAAATTGATGGCTGGATAGACTTCCCATTAAAGACAAGAAAACCGTTCTTTTTAAAGGGCTGCAAGGTGCATGCATACACCCAGACAAAATGACCTTTGCTTCTGGGTGGAGCTCCACATAAGCAGCAGAGAGCTGTGTCCCATAGCCGTTCTCATAGTTCAGATTCTTCTTCTCTGCTGGGACTCCAAACTTTGGCTTGGTCTTACTCAAGGTATAACTGATACGGTGCAAACAGTGTTATGGCTGCCTGTAGGAATGAGGGTATCTTGCAGGAATCATGATCCTTGACTTCATGGTCAGGATTGATGCTTTAATAGTGTTGCCGGTGATGGCACAAAAGATGAAGCACACCGGAGATAGTGCATGAGTAGGTGTTTCTGTACGTGGTTAGGAGAAAAATTCCCATCTTCGTGAAACAGGAGGGTATGCAGGAGCCTGGGTTAAACCATCAGTGAACAAGCTGTCTAAAACAGCATGTAAAGGGCAATTTTGGAAGCGCGTGTTTATTACCTTGATTTTATGGCTCACACAGTTCCATTGCCCTGTGCGGTAGAGGTCCAAAAGCTGCTATCTCTGCTCTTTGCTTGGAATAGCAAGTGCATCCTGATCCTGGAACAAATGCTCCATTTCACACCCTCCGCTGTTCCATCCACCCCACGCTTCAGCCTGGAACTGGTGGAAATAGCTTTTCAAACACAACCAGGTAGCTGAGTAGACCTAATGGAGCTTAATTGCCACATGTTTATTACATTTGCAGAGTGGAGGACACTGCAGTCTGAATGTCTAAATTAATCCTGCATTACCAGGCCAGCTACCATGACATTTCTATGTTCCAGTATAATGCAAACATAACAATTCATTTGATTTCTTTATGTCAGAAGAGAGAATCATACAGAGTACGGAGGTCCCGGTCTTGACCTGCATCTTTTCAAGCAGACAAGGGGACATGAAAGCTGCAGGGCACAGGCAGGTACTGCATGGGGGCAGCTGGGCAGGACCTGGGCAAATAAATGAAACCTGCGTCTTCCTCTGACCTGTCCCTACCTAAGCTCTAGCTCACTCCACTTTATCACTTCAGGGCTACAGCTTTTGCAGGAGGCAGAAAAAAGTGGGTGCTGGAATCCCACTGAAAGTATATGCTACATCCCTTTATGTCTTAAATCAGTCTGAAATGCTTGTGGTCGTGATGGTGAAGCTGTTGAAATGTGTCCTGCATTAGGGTGACACAGTTCTTCCTGACTCTTAAAGATTACACCTAAAAATATAACCCTTAGGGATATTTTTAGAGTAACTCTGCTAGGACAAAGACAAGCTCCCAGAAGAATAAGAAGAAACAGTTTGAAAAGTGGATGAGAAGCACAATGCAATTTTATCTTTATTTAAAACGAAGATGCCTCATTTTAACTGAGGGCAGGAGAGTTTCCTTCACATGTCATTTTGCTTGTCTTAAATGGAAAAAGATTTGTGACATTACACGGTCTCTGTTTTGTCCAAGTGATGAAAGGGTGGCCTTATTTATAGACTTATAATATTGTTTAAGTAAAGAAGTCCTGGGTGGTGCAGGAGGTTTTTATCATTGCCAGCATGGTTATTTTCATCGCCCTCGTTTTGACTCAGCATGCAGGAAAGGCAGACAGGGTCCTTGCCCAGGGCTGTGGGAGAGGTGGGGAGCTCCCATGGCTAGGGCTGGGCTGGGAACCCCATGCAGGGGCTGAGCATTCCTGCCTTACAGAGATAAATGAGCTAAAAGCTGTCCAAGTGTTGTTTAAGTGTGAAAAGAAAGAACGACTGTCTCTAGACATGTTTTGCTAAGGTGCCGCTTCTCTTTTGAACAAGCAGCCTCTTCAAAGGGATTGGCTTTTTCATCTCAATGCCGTAGGGAGACAATAGTCAATTCTTGGTACTGAATATCTTCAATTACCACAATCCCTTGCAGGATATGACACTAGAAAGGCTATGCATAGAGAGGATAATTTTGGTTCATAGCCTTTAAATGTTCCCAGCCGCAATAGTGTGGTGAAAGAAGATGTCTTCCAAGAAGTTCACATTACTGGCTGTAGTAAAATAAAATAGCTATATTGTTTCAGCCGGCAATTTCTTCCCATTGTCTTCGTTTTAAAACCCATGCATACTCAAAGGCGAAGGGATGTGTTTCACTACAATTTGAGAACTGCACTGTAACCAAATATTATCTTCATTTTGCTCCTTGTTTCATGTTACTTTTTGGTCCTTGAGTTCTCCAAAGTTCATCACTGGCTGTGACATTACCGTGACTTGCTAACTTTCTCATTATTTCCCCAATCAATAGGAGAACAATATATGGTGTTATTCTGTATTTCAGTTACCTGTCACTCAGTGTTTTATCTCCATTGATACTCCAGGTACTGCTCACAGAAACTAAAGTAGGCTGTCTTGTCTTCCGCTAATCTTGAATGCCTTTTGTTCAAGAGGTGTTTTGTATTCATCAGTCAACTAAGGACTCATCCTGAAGAAGCCCTCAGTCAGCACATAGATCTCAGTGAAAAAGGGATATGCAGCTCTTGAAATATTCATAGCAAAAGGTACCTCAATCATTTTCACCTTTTGACCCTTTGAGGCTGAAAGGATTATCAGCAGTAAGTGGCAAATCTTACGGATGTGAAATTTTCATAGACGAAATACCTTGCCATTCTTTCTTATCCACTTTCGGTATTAAGCCTATTCAGAAGGTACATTTATCTACCCACTCTATCTGCCACTACAGTTGTGTCAAACTCAAAACAACTTTAATAAAAGTCCAAAGTTGAAGTGGTAACGACCAAAACCTGCAAATAACCAGGACGCTTTTAAGGGAAGGAAAAATGCCGCGGATGCTTGCTGCTTCCAGCGCTTCACGGAGGGGCAACGAAGAGCCCTTTTAGAACGGCTGTAACAAATACAGTGTAGTGCTATTCATAGCCAAAACTGTCATTTGGGGAATCAAGTGACAAGTTGTCTCCATTTGTTAAGTTAAAATCTAGCACAATAAGTGAGATTTTCTGGTGCTTATAGTCTGCTAAAGGAGAAAGATGAATGCTGATGGTAGGCAATTAGCTCCTTCAGGGATCTCCACAGTTGAGAGCAGCAGGCTGCAAAGTCTGCAACAGCGGCTTTAGGAAGGATTGCAGGCAGAAACAGTCTTCTAAAACTGGATAACATTTCTCAAAGGTAAAAACTTAAGTTTTGCCTGTCTAATAACATCTCTGCTTTGGTGCTAATCCAGGCAGTCCTATCCACAGACTGGCTCATGTAAGTAATCAGGATCCATCCTTTCTAAAACAGATTAGCTGTGTGTTGGTGATGCCCTCCAAAGCAGTGGCTTTGTAGTCAAACAGTGGTAGAAGCAGCATTTCCAGTGACATTTCACTAATGAAAGCTTTAGTTAGATGAACATCCGCTGCTTAACAAGTTAATGTCCAAGTGAATATCACTGGCCAGGAGAAGAAACAGCCTGAAACATGAAATGCAGTTAAGATCCTCAAAGATAAGACAACATGGTGTCCCTAGACTAGGAAAAGGACAGGCAAAGTTATAAATGAGTGCAGGGATGGCCTGTGGCAAGTCACCTAACCACTCTGTGCCTCAGTTTCCCAAACTGTAAATCTGAGTTAGCATCCACATCTTGTAAAAAAATAAGAATAAACCCTTTTACTGTGGGGTAATTTGGCTTTCTGTGTTCTGCAGCCCTATTTTGCCTCCTGCTATCCACATATGAAGTATATATCACCAGTTAACAAAAGTTATTTTACATGTCCCTTGATTTCGGTAATGCATCTTTAGGTTCTTGCCATAACTTGGAAATGACTTTGCAGTTGTCTGTAGCATGACCACTGCTCCTGTATGCCCTCTGCTCTCTCTGCTTTCCTCCTAGAAGGGTTTTTGGTTATGCATTCTGATGAGAAGGACTCATGGAAAACGATAGGGGAAAGCAGAGAAAAGTAGTATGCATAACAAGCCAAAATACTTGTGTCTGTCTCCTAAATGTTGTATTTGCTTTAGGATTCGGTCCGATGTGCTAGTTGGGGTGCATGAAAAAGCATACTTGGTGCAAATAGATAGTAAAATGTTTTTGGTTTCTGTTAGTTGTATTCCTATTTAATAAGTATATTGGATAGCAGATTGACAGAAGAATACTCTTGGTTGGAGGCTTCCTTATGGATGACAAAATCACACTCCTGCTCAGTGATAAATCGTATGAATGCAGAAACTATAAAGATTTAGATTTCTCCTGGAGTTACCTCTTGTGATTGGTAAAGTTATTCTCTTCTCTCTATGGAAAACTCAGGCCTGTGTTTTTTTAATATGAATTAGCAGGTTTCCAGGGGTTATTTCAGCACTGTTGCTATAGGGGAGAAATGAATTTCTCAAAGACCTCCCTATCAGGTTCAACACTAAAGTCTCTTTGAGACTCAGGGTTTCCAGCGATCTGGAAAGCTGTCAGCAGCTGAAGCTGGGAACTTAAGTCTATACCTGGGTACCTGGAAGGTGTCTAAAGTAGAGTGGCTCTCCCAGATCCTAGTGGGTTTGGCTGAGCAACTTACACTGGAAATCAGAGCATGTGTTTGGGGATTAAACACTCGGTTTAGGGCATGTTTAGCTGGAAAGAGCTAGCTCTCTGAGGTCTGGATCATGCAGTAGAGTACATCGCTCCAGGACATTCATCTCAGATGTGCTATCTCTGCGAGCTCTCTGGCATACTGTAAGGGATGGCATGCAGATAGACTGTCTACCCTGCATTGATGAAGATAGACATAGATAGATAGACATAGAGATATAGCTAGAGATAGATATAGAGAGTTATAGGCATCCAAAGGCTCCACTTCTGACCAGGCTGCGCTCTGCAGCCACTGGCACCCAGATACAGATTATGCCTATACCCAGAGGTAGACTCAGGACTGGAGGCTGCCCCCTCCAGTGGGGGAAGAAGTCTTGAACATTCTGGAGAGGAGGAGCTATCTCATGCCTGAGGGTCCCAAATTGCCACCACAACTAAGCAGCACTGAGTAAAACACCTGTACTTCAGCCTGGACCCGCTGTCTTTCATGTGGATGGCTGCCTCTTCTCTTCCAAACACAAAGTAAGCACCACCACTTTCTTCCAAGTCAGTGGCCAGAAGCTGCTCCTGTCTGCCCTGGTGATGGTGCAGTCAGCGCCAGGACTTACCTATGCCACAGTCAGGTTGGGTGGTCACCAAACTCACAAGAGATGGCATCATCCCCCAAGTTGTATCTTTTGACATCACTTCCATGTCTGCAAGGGGATCCATGGAGTTGGGATGTTGTGGGAAAACGTTATGTGGAGAGGGTGCTCAGGCATTGGAACAGGCTTCCCAGGGAAGTGGTGGAATCTCCATCCCTGGAAGTGTTCAAAGAACGTGTGAATGAGGCCCTTATTGGCATGGTTTAATGGTGGAATTGGCAGTGCTGGGTTATGGTTGGACTTGATGATTTAAGGTCTTTTCTAACCTTGCTGATTCTATGGTTCTATGGCACACACTATATCTGCTTTGTGGATATATCTGCTTTTGCAACGCATCTTGCCAGCATCTGGAAAGATTAGCAGTACTGAGTCATGTCTGATCCTGTAGGTTTCATTGTAACTGAAGTTACACACTTGTTATGTGTCTGTAGGTCTAGCTCTTGAGCATAGGCAACTTAAGATACACATAATTTAACCACTGAAAATAGAAATGGGAATCAATACAAGCAATAAAAAACAGTAATTAGAGTTGCTGACAGTGGGCACAGAGAGAAGGTGTGAAGGACGGCATCTGAAGATCCCTTTTGCTTCCTGAATCAAGCAGCATCCTCAGAAACACAGCACAAACTTCACCATTTTCATGCTTTAGCTGAAAAGATGCCGACCCATGCAAAAGGATTTTCTTTATAACTTTAATTAACATACCCTGTATGAAAAGAAAAACAAAAGCAGCACCTTCTTGTCACGTATCCTCAGTATTAAAGAGCAACAGCAACTAGAAATGAATCACAGTTCCCTTCTGCAAACGGGCTGAGTGTTTTCATGCTGCATGCTGAACCGATTGAGTCATGAGGAGGGAGCAGCAATATTTTAATTCCATATAGTACATCCCCACCTCTGAATTTATTTACCAAGTATAACATTTATTTAATGTAATTTAGTTCTAAATATTTAAAAGCTCACTTTGTTTAATATGTTTTCAAGTACAAGATGTTAAGTAATTATGTATGATGTGGTGGTCTTTTATTAGGTAGTTAATGACCATCTGGGAATTCAAGCCCCAAGGCAATGCCAAGGGCTTCTGAGTATTAGGTGGCCATTAACATAGTGCTAATGGACTAGCATACTCTACATGATTATTAAGTAAGCATAAAAAAATAGCATTCAAATTAAAATAGGAAATTCAGGTTTAAGGCTTCTCTAGCATCCTTAATTTAATCAGATCATAGCGACCCATATGGCTGTGTCTTGTGTTGAACTGGATCAAACAGCAAAGACATTCAAGCTAGCATCTCCTCCAGACAAACTGGAGTTACATAGCCAGGTCCCTGCTGCTCCCAGGTGTGAGCATCCCGGTGTCACAGCCCAGGAGCCTGCTCACATGAGGAATTCTGCTGCTGTCCCAGTCCTCCTGCATCACATGGGTGTCAGTAAAATGAGCATGGCAGGATGCTGCCCTTCCCCAGCATAATGAATGGAGCCAAGAGGGATGCCTTAACCACCTACACACTGTGAAGTCTGGGGGCTCCTTGCTGGACCAGGTGGCACCTCAGAGACTGGTGTTATACCAAAAGCATTGGCTGTTCTGTCAAGACTAGGACTGTATTTCCCCACTACTGCACACTTTGCAGTCATTGAATGTTTCTGGTGTTTTCTTTTCCCTTTTAATTAAGTGCTGAAAGACAAAGATAATCAAAGATATTCATTGTAAACAAATCAAAAATAAAAAGGCCTGGCGCGTTTTAATATGCTCAGGCAGTGTTGTAGTGCATAAACAATATTTCAGAGAGGAGGTAAGAACAGATACGGATTTTGTTTCACTGCTGCCTCGATACTGTACTTCCCATATGCAGGTATCAACATCGCTTTCATAGAAGTTAGGGACATAAATGATCTATTAGATTATACTGTTCTCTTGACATGATAATGTGCTCTGTATAGACTTGTATTGAGTTTGTTTTGCCATCGTTTGTCATAAAGTCTCCACAGGCTTCAATTGCCCTCATTTTGCCATCAGAGTGACATCTTAATATGGTCTCTGCTCCTCCGAGTTGCCATGACATTGTCACGAGATCATTAGACGATGCCAAGTCTCATGCAAGAGAGAAAACCACAAAGAAGAAAAAAAGAACCTAACCCAGAAAACAGTTGTTGGGATTTGAAAATTTCATTTCTGTTTCTTTCGTTGCACTACAGGTCTTTGGGCAGGCAAAAGAGGTGTTTGAACACAAGCTTCAGTGGTAACCTCATGGATGCCTAGAAACAGCCTGGGATAATCTGTGCAAACTATCTTTGCACAAGATGTTAAAACATTTTTATGAAAACAAAAGTGCCTTTATTGTTATCACAGACTTTTTGTTTCTTTAAAAAAAAAAAAGGTGCATTTTTCTCTGGATCTGATTAAAGTTGGGTGTAGGAAATGTGAAGGAAAAACCTTAAAAAGAATAAAAGAATCAGTGTCAAACAAGTGTACTTCCTAGAGAAGTAATGGCAGTACATAAAGGTTTAGCTAAAGACTTTTCCACCTTTCTTTTTTGCAGGCAGAGAAAACTATTTAGAAATCTATTGAATCGCACAGTGCATTCCAAAGGGACCCAGAGGAATCTGAGCTCTTAACAAGCTGTATACTTTTGAGGTAACTGATGAAGGCAGCCGTCTCTGGGCTGAAATACAGCTGTTTAAGAGGACATAGCAATGCTTCACGAAGCCAAGAGCCAAAGGAAAAAAAAAAGCTATGCCCAAGGTGTGTGCAGTTAACGCAAAATATTTGTGCTGCTATGTCGCTGGAACACACATGATCTCAAGTCCAGGAAAAATTAAAAGGTTAAAAAAGTTACAACCAAAGAAACAACAGGACAGTGCCAAGCGAAAGGTCACAAGACAAATGAAAAACACATCAAATGGCTCACCCACTGATGTGCTCTAATAGCAAAATGACCCCCATTAAAATGTTCACCATGAGTGCAGTATCAGAAGCTCTCCAAAGAATGCATGAAAATGTTGGCTTCCTAAATTAATCAAGTTTTATGGCTTGCTTGGAAATTTTGGTTAGGACTTCTAAATACTAATGTACCACTTCAGCTAATACAATTTCCCCTTGAAAACACACCTTCGTTTCCAGTAATAGGAAGTCTGTTTATTACTGCCACCACCCCAATTTTATGGCATCCGATGTGCTCACGTGTATTACCCAATACTAGGAATGATCTTGGCTTAAATTTTATGTCCATTTGCCTTAATCATTTCGCTCCGCTGTGCAAAAGGGAAAAAGAAAATAAAGGTTTAATGTGAAATCTGAAGGCAAAGGGTCCTCACTTTCTAACAGTGTGTACTATGCCCATCCAGAGCAATTATTATTGCTCATTACATTTCCATGCAGAAATCATTACATTTTATATCACAATATGCATTTTTTTATAAGTAAGCTTTAAGCAAATTAGAATACTTAATATGTTTTTTGAGCTTTTGCCAGGCATGTGCTCCCAAGCCGGTTCCTCCTATTTACATTGTAGCTTTTATCCATTTCCAAATATGAGAAGATTTATCTATCAGATTCTGTGCAAATTCAGTACACAGATAATTTGTAAAAAGCTTTCTTTCTTTTTGTTTTGGTTTCCTTTTTTTTTTCCAAATGTTCTGTGGTTTTTCTAATCTCATCTCTTTTCTAATTTCCTAATCATATAACCTTGAAGTCTAAAGACACAGCCTGTGATAATCTGTGTAAACTGTCTTTATTGTTATCACAGACCTTTATAAAAAACCCCCCAAAAACAACACACGCACACACGAGCACACATTCAAAGCTGCCTTTTAAGTCATACTTTAGTCACAGTTCAATCAGATCCACATTACTGCTACTCATCAGATAGAAAGTGTTCGCGAGCAGGAGGGGGATATTGACTTTAAAAATTCACTGGTGAGGCGTACAGAGCCTGCAGGAATGTCAAAACTCCAACCTGCATTTTGATGTTTTTGCCTCAGGTTAGTCTTGACTGACATGCTTGGAGCACTCTTGTTTGTGCTCCGGCATCCATTAACTGTCCTTGACTCAATGTTATATGGGCCTTTACGGTCAGCTCGGTGCCTAATGGTTACAGCAGATTAGATGCCACGAGGTGTAAGAAAAGCATACGCCTCACTTTAAGGGATCACATTGGTTGGGCGCTGCTTCATTGGGGGGTATTGTTTGATCCTAAATTAATGAGCGCCTGTTAATTATTATTCTGATAACTCTGCTTCACGTGGGAGCATGCCAGGCAAGTGGTGCTGTAAAAAACCAGGGTTTTGCAAAAAGAAAACAAAATGTCAAGGTTGAGATGTCTTTGAGTGGGCTGGGTTTGCATGTAAGGCATTTCACTCGAGTGTGGATGCTGCTGGATGTGGGGAAAGGAAAGTCTTAGCTGTATTTTTGTTCAGCATTAAACAACTGCCTTGCAAAAGCAGCTCAGGGAAGGTTTATCAGTCCAGCATAGAGATAGATGTATGCATCTGTAACCTCCTGCAATATGCATTGCTGACTTTCCTACTTTGGCTTTGTTCTTCCCTGGTTTCCTCAAAGTTTTGGAAGAATAATCCAAACCCCACTTGCACTTGGGTTCAAGGAAAGTCTCCCTTTCAAAAAGGGGGTAATACGGGCACTAAAGCGGTGTTAACATTAACAATCATTTTAATCATTCTGATGTCACTCCCATTAATATATATATAGAGAGAGAACTCTGCAGGAAGTGCTGACAGGTACAAATGTGCCCATAGAAATGTTTTTCTTTAACATCAAGCTCAGATAAGCTTCGGAGGTGCCTATATTCATTTACTGGGAAGTACTGAGATTAGACAGATGTCTCAATTTAAAAAGGGAGACAAAAACTCTCATGTAGATGTGACACTTGCTCACCTGTGTTTTTCTGCCAGTCTATATAATGCTATCAGAACATAACCAGAGTTTTGATTTATACACCTCATTTGACGTTGACTGGCAGCTCTACAGAGAACACATGCAAAGAGATGGTAATTTAGGAATATGGAGAGCTTATTAGGCCAAATGGAAAGAAAAAGATAAAAAAGATCATTTCATTTTACTTCTTTTGAAATTAAATGGGGACCAAAACACCAAATCCAAACATCCCCACACTGAGGCACTGGGAGCATGAACCTGGACAGGGCCCAGGATGTGCAGATGGCCCCCATTTCTGCAAAAGGTCAGGTGGGGAATACAAAATGCCCTCAATTCTAGCTTTGGAGGGGCTAGACGTTTTAATCTGACTTAATAGTTGAGGGCAATCTAGGTTATTAAATTGACCTCTTTTACTTATCTGAGATATTTCACCGGAGGTGATCCTCACTGCTCTGTGACTTGGTGCTTCTCAACTGTAGTTCATAGGCGGCAGTGTAGAAAGTGCCCCTTCGGCTCGCCAGGTCACCCATAACCACGAAGCTGGCTGCCTACATTTAGCATATTTCAGTTTCAAAACCCTCATCTGCCTCAGCAAACTCCTCCACATTGAAAAGCTCTAAGAAAAAAGGGTTCTGGATAGGAGTATAATTTCTTCTGGTAGTGTTAAAATTGGCTCAAGCTGGCTAATGTTATTGATAATGGCTTGGGGCTTTTGAAACAGCAAAATGTTTGGAATTAGAATATGACAAGTGATTAAAAAACTGAGATAAATGAAGAAAAAGAAAAAGCCATATGTCCCCACACAACTCGGTCATGAAATGTCAGGAGGTCACATAGCTGACTCCTTTCTTTCACTAGACCGTAAATTTCATTGTCTTGGAATAATGTTTTTCTTTCACCCAAAACCAACATTGGAATCCTGTAAGCGCAAGGGTGGTGAGAAATGGCTATATATTTTTTCTCACTTTTTTGTGTCTCGCATTGCTAAAGCCACTTGAAATGTCTTCTGTCTTCTGTTTGTTTTCCTTTGGAATAAAGTTTACTGCTTGTGAATAGTTCTCAGCTGACAGCTCTTGAGACCAAAAGCCTGCTTCACAGATGCAGAATGAACCAGCACAAGAAGTGGCTTCGTTGGCAACTTCCCCACAATGTTAAAGACTCTCTGCCTCAGCCCTTATCTAGTAGGTGGCCAGTTTAGTTCTTGTGGGGTTTTCAGGCTTTGGCATCAGTTGTCTACTGCCAATAGACACGTCACCTCCTGGTTGGTGTTAATTTGCCTGGAAATTTAAAACCCCACACCTATGAGCATGCCGGGTTGTGTGGATCATCCAGTTGTGTGTTGAGTCCCAGACAGAAAGCATCTGGTATCTCCAAACTTGTGCCATTTTACATGCAACTTCCAAGTGAACCTGGGACTGGTTAGGTGGCTGGTTCTTTGCTATCTAATCTGCTCCAAGTCTTGTGCTGGGCTTCAAAGTAAAATCAGTTAAAATGGGCAAAATAGTCACTTCTTAGCTTGACAGTGAACTCAACAGGTTTGGGGCATTGCTGAAAAGATTAATTCAATACAGGTCACAGCATCTCATGTAGTAGCATGGGGCAGGCATTAAGTCTTCTGCCAGGCACATGAATCGCAGTGGGAGCTGCAGGAGAATAAGCACGTTCTGCTTTGGCCTATTTCCTACAAATCTCATCTTGCTTCTGCTTTCAGGTACTACAAGCGCACGGGTACATCAGGAGCTGCATCACTGTGCATCAGGTCTGCTGGGCCAGACCTGGAGCTTTGTCACAAGCTTCAGGACTACAGGCAGGAGAGTGTGACTATGAGCCATCACCACCTGCCTGTGCTGCTCAGAATCAGTGCTGCAGGGGGACTGGTGCTCACGTGCATGTGTTTGCAATGCACGGTGAATGTGGAAAACAAAGTCTATCCCTGGTCTGAAGACAAATCACAATGTGCTTTACAAACTGTGCCTACTTGAAAAAGGGTCTCAGTGACTTCTAGAGAAGCTCCGTTTCCTGGTGGAGTATCATCTTCTTGAGGCTAAAATACAAGGCAAAACTTACGGCTTCTGGGAACTTCCTTTGGGTGCAGTTTCTTATTAAATGCCTTAAAGGATCTGTGTGGATGAGAGCAAGAGGCGTATCGCAAGGTGAAGCAGTCTTGCTTCATGCACTTTGCCACCACATGGCCGATGCCTTGTGTGTTTGCTGGGAGTGAGAGCTGCAAGCCTTTGGTCCTCAGTCATTACATAGAAGTAAGCAGTTGTTGAAATGGCAAGGAGGATTTGAGCCCTGCATCTCTGCTAGAGGGTGAGACACAATGAATGGACACTGAGAATTGCCAAACCTTGTTGTATACGTGTGGACATTTCTGAATTACAGATGCTTCACCTCGTTACAGCAAGATCTGTTGTTTTGTGGCAATCTCTGCAGAAATCATGTGCCTGCTGGAAGCGTCTGTATCCCGGGGATTACCCCTGCAGAATATATGTGCTGTAAGTGGAATTTTTTAGTCCTGGCTTTCATTGCTGCGATGGGGGAAGACTGGCTCAGCATGCACCGCTCCCTTCTGGCCAAGAGGAAGGCACTCAGGCTGGGGGCAGTCCTGTAGTCCCCGGTTCTTGACTCTTGATAACGCTGCAGTCGGGTGACAGGAATCGGGATCTCCAGGGCTTTGCTGTGCATTCATCACAGCCCTATTTGTTTTGCTCTGAAGTTTCCTGTGGTTTTCAGCTGCTGCGGTTCCCAGATAAGTGTGTTTGGCTGTGGGTGCGGCTGAGCCAGAGGAGGGTGCCATTTCGGAGGTTTTGCTTTGGGATATTTTTAGCTGGAGGAATAAGCACGTGCGCGAGGGAGTTTTCCCGATGGAACGCATGATTTCAGCGCACTCCGGAGCTCACCTCAGTGTGAGATTAGCCACACAGAGCAGATGTGAATAAAAACAGAAGGTACCTTTAAGCTGGCCGGCACTGATACTGACCCCAGAGCAGCTCCCCCTAACAAGCCACCCACCCACCCACCACCCACCGATGCTGTTACTCATGTGCAATGCCCAGAAACGAGGAAGTGCTGTTTGATTTTGACTGTGATGTTTGACCCTGTTGTTTAACATGCATCATGCACACCTTTTTAATAGATGGTACAGTGCAGTTTAAACACCCCCAAAGTGCAGTGCTAGGGAAGAAACCAAAGACCATATGCACCTCAACAAGTGCTACAGCAAGATTTTAGACATGTAGAGGTACCTTGCATCGTGAACCTCTGCACTCAGCAGCCGCACCACCTCAGAAGCACCTGAGCATACCAACCTTCCTGCTGCTTCACCTTGGGGTTGCCTGAGGGCTGCCAACTCACTCCTGTGTGTACAGACCTGCTCTGATTTCCATGGTGGGGCATCCAGCCCACATCCAGCAGCTATGGGCATCCAGAAAGGAGGAAAGAGTGTCACCTTGCTTTCCCAGGGTGTCGTACAGGTCTACTCATAGATTTATTCAAGGAAAGGTGATCACATAATGGGCAGGCTTATCTACCTTTTCTGCAGTAACCTACAGCTCTCTCACTGATCTGCTGGGATTTAGCCCATCCAATTTGCTTGCCAAAACAGTCCCCTTGCACCATGATGTAGTGATGAAGGAGTAACCAACACTAGTGTTCTCTCCCTGGTTTCAAGATGGGGTGCTTATGCCATGCTTAAAATGGTGCATGGGGTCACCCACAGAGCCAGTGAAAGGAGCAGAGATGACAAGTATGACATGTTGGATGATGGAGAGGATGGGGCAGAAGGTGCAGGGCTAGTCTTTTGGATTTTTCTTGTTGTCTTAACCCATGAATTTATACGCTTAAGCAGTGTTAGAAAATCCAGAACATCTCTCTTCTTCCCTGCAGCCTTGGTCATTTGGAAGGAGAGCCATGTACTTCTATGCCTGCTTGTCTCTAGTCCCACAAATCTTGCCTTCCTTTCTTCCCATTGGCACCCTTTCCCTAGGGGGAATGCTGGTGAATTGACATTAGCCTATAACCTGGTGCACTGGACCCTTCCCCAGGATGAGGAGGTGAACTGACTTTGGCAATGCACTGAACAAAGATCTTGCATTTTGTGGCCAGATATTTGTCACGAAACTGTGAAGGTGCCTACTTCTAGGGTGGGACCCAGGTCTTGAAATGAGGAGGGGTATTCAGGTGCAGAGATGGCAGTAGAGCTCAGGCAAACACATGCTTCATACTCTTATTAGCGGTGAGCAGAAGTTTTAGAGCATCTTCCTGGAGCACTGACCTCTCAATGCACTGTTGTGAGCTTGGGCTTTGAAATTCCTGACTCGTTGGTATCTAAACCCTTCATTTCATCTGGCCCAGCCACATCTGCAGCAGCCTGGAAGCTGAGAGAAGGGGTGATCAGTTTAGTGCTCCATTAATATCGTGGTATATGTGGAAGGAAAAGTATCAACAACATCACCGTCCATAAGCAGTTGGAAAAGTAAATGCATCATCATTTTTATTGCTATTATAGAATATGGCTGTTTATAACTCAACTCTGCAAACACTTACTGGTGTCAGAAAAAAAACCTTTAAAATGTGCTACTTATGCCCTTCATTTACTGAAGACTGGACAGTCTTAAATCACCCATGCAACCCAGTCAAAGCTAGGTAGAGCTCCAGTTTCCAAAGGATGGCTTAAGTTAATTCTCATACATACAGAAGAAAGCTGAACTTCTCTAAGCAAATTTTGATAAAGGGTAATTGCTGCTTGAAATATAGACACAGGGAAGATCGCAGATGATAAAATCAGTGCAGTTTAACGTATTAACACTCATAAATGTTTAAAGGTATATTTATAAAAGACAAATTAACTGTCCAAAGATAACTGTTAAAAAAAGAACAAATAAAGGTCTTCACTTTAGAGATCATCCTGTGAGGATGCTTTTTGAAGCCATTTATACCCTGGGCTTCTACAGCATCACTTGGGAATAAGTTGTAAAATTTAAAAGAGAGATGCATGCTAAAGTAATTCCTTTAGATTCTGCTGCCTTCTCACTTCATCAGGTTATCTTAGTTCTTATGTTCTGGGAAATAATAATCATCATTATCCCATAGTCACCTTCTTTGTACTTTTTACAGTTTCTAAACCTATGCATTTTCCAGGACAAAAGATTCTTCACTGTTTTCCCCTCTGTTGTCCTTCCTCACACTGTTCTGTTCCTACACTTGTGGGTTTTATTCTGGAGGAGAAGAGCAGAGCTGCTCTCAGCTCAGGATGTGGCCCCCTGTTGCTGGCATTCATCTCACCTCTTTTCTCAATGATTCCTTACATTGTTCTTTTCTCTCTGACTATCACTGAGTGCTGAATTGAGGTTTTTCGGTGAATGACTCTACAGCATCTATAACAACTCCAAGATCTCCTCCATGAATGACAACAGTGCATTCAGAGTTATTTTTTCCTGTTTACTTTATGAATACCAACGCTGAATTTCACCTGCCTTTCCCCAGCCCCAGCATTCAGTTTGTGAGTTTCTTTGGCAGTTTTCAGTCAGCTTTTGCTGCAGCTCTCCAGTGTATTTTCTGTCAGAAAGTATTGCTATGTCGGAGTTCGCACCTTTCCCCCATGATTAATGGATGTACAGAACAGCCAAGTCCTCTTCAAATCACATCAGTAACCTCCACTCCATCATTAAAATGATGATTTCCACTTGCTCTTAGCCTTTATTTCATACCTGTTCGTCACTTACTAAACCACATTAGAAGTTCCTTACATTTCTTTTAATGGAATTTACAGTGAGGAAGGTTATGAGCAGAGTTTTGAAAACCCACTAAATAATAAGCAAATTATTAAGTTTGCGATCTCTTTAAAACTGGCAGGTTTGTGTGCATGACTTCCCTCTGAAGAATTTATAACTCTTTTTGGATATATACTTGAACTCAGTTATTAATCTCATTCCTTATGTATTTGCTATCAATCCAATCAGGTTTACAGGATATTTATTCTAGCAATTTCTTTCTAAAATACTTTATATTATGCCATGAGTTTGAAACAGATCCACATCCTCATTCTCTCTGAAGAAACAATCTCCATTCACTGCTTCTCCTAAAAACAAGTATGCAGAGGACTACGTAGAAAGCTAATTCATACAGATCTATATGTCTTTCTTTTTTCTCGTTCTATTTGCCTGGGTGTAGTTGCATGTTGATTAAACTACTTGCAAATTTACATCAGAGTTTCTGGATCTGGCTGAATCCTTGAAATGCTTCTGTTTGGCTTTTGGTTGGTTGTCTGATGGGTTTTTTTTAATCTAGAAATAAATGTAGGCTCCTGGGACATTTCCATCCAGTGACTCTTTCCACACAGCAAGCTGCTCCTTCTGAAGGTATTCCTCCAACACCAGTAGTTTCCATCTTGAATCACAGATTCTGTGTAACCCTCCAGTCCCCTTTTTTGGTTTGTTCTAAGCACTGAACACCTCCTGGTAGAGTGCCTGGGATTCCTTTAATGCTGCACATCTTTCTTGTTCTGCAAATTTATCCTGAGCAATTTCTATAGACTATAAAGGTATAAATCAGACGTGGGGTTACGCCTTTGCGTTCTTCTGATGCTCTCAGTTTTCTTGGTCTGGCAGATATTTATCTTGGATTATGTCGTCAGTGATTTTAAGAAAATACCAATCTCCCTTTTCTCATTTCCAAAATCTGTCAAGGAAACTATAAAGCCAAAATTCAGCTCCTGTATGTTCAAAATACATATATGTTGCTAAATTTATAAATATATATGATTGGATATACTATCCATATAGTAATTGAATTGCACAAGTATATTATACCTATATTGATATATATGTGTACATACGTGATATGGTCATCAGCTGTTCTCCTGCATTCATCCTAAATCTTTTAGGGGCATTGATCCAGCTGCACCAATGCTTTCCCATGCGTGTTCTTTCTGTTAGCATTTCTTGGTTTTCATGGGTAAAATGAAAAAACCCACCTCTCTCTCGTTCTCCACCCTACACAGGCGCATTGCTTCTGTTCCTGCGTTTCATGTTCTGTTCCTTTAATAGGCCCAAGCCCAGATTTCCCCTTGACCTGATATGGTAAATATATTCTGAGTTTCCTCATCAAAGGAATATATCAGGGGAAGATCCTTACTTATATTTTCTTGTGATATCTTCCATTTGTAATTGGGTAACACATTCATTCATATGACAGTAAACTGGAATAGAGCCTACTTTCTAATATGTTCCAAGTCTGGAGCAAATAAATATACAGCATCTCCCCACACACACACTTCTGCTAGTTAGCATGTGGTAATTAACACTTGTTAAAATGACTAAAATTCCAAATGTGGACATGCTCTGTGAGAAAACCTCGTTGTGATTATACAGTGAGCCTTCCGTCACAAGATAATGGGTATTTTTAGCAATCCTCCTCTCATTTTTGTATGAGTTTTGTCATATCCCAATCCAAAAGAAATCAACTTTGGATTCTGGCAATCGTGTTTTTCCATCAGCATTTTCACA